CGCATATAGATTTCGTGGTCAATCTTACTGTGGAGGAATGCCCCGGTGACGTTGTCTTGTCCTCGGTACCAGCCATGTGAAGCTGCAAAGTGCAGTATCACGCGAAGCGAGTCGAGTCGGACAGTTGGCGAGAATGTGTCACTATAGTCAACACCTGGGATCTGTGAATATCCTTGTGCGACAAGCCATGCCTTGTACTGTGTGATTTCACCATCTGGGCCAAGCTTGAGGGTATATGTCCATTGGCACCCTATGACTTTTCGATCCTTTGGCTTCTTGACTAGCTCCCATGTACCTCTTCTCTGCAACATCTCGATCTCCTCATGCATTGCCTTCCACCATTGGTCTGCCTCAGTGCAGGTAGAAGCTGCCCGAAAGTGTTCTGGGGTTCGTTGGCCATAGGCTGCGAGATAAGCAAGCTGGGCAACCTCGCTGACAGTGGTATTTTCAACCAGTGGTGTGTCAGTGTCGTTTTTACGTTGCCTTTGGGCTCAAGTTTCTCGTCTTGCCTTCTGATCATTCTTTTCCCTCTCAGACTTGGCTTTCTGGGTGTCCGCTGCTTGTTTCTTCCACGATGGTCGTGTGACACGCTCTGAACGTCGAGGTTGAGCTGGTGGAGTAGCTGGTGTAGGCATTGGGGGTTCTTTGACGAGCATTGGGGGTTCTTTGGTGAGTGTTGGGGGTTCTTTGACGAGTGTTGGTGTCTCATTCGTGGTTGGATTGGCATCTCCATCCATCACCCCCTCGGTCCAAGTAGGGGAGTCAACAATGGTAGTCGATTTTGGCACCCCCTCACTCGGAGTGGAGATATTAGGAGTAGGGACAGGTTCATCGTCAAGTTGGCTGAAGATTTTCTCATAGACTATGACATCACGAGACGAGATGAATTTGTGTTTAGAGGGAATCCAGACCTTGTAAGCTTTAGAGCCTCGTTCAAAACCACAGAGGATACCGTCAATGGAATGAGCCTCGAGCTTCTTCCGAAACTCGGGAGAGACTCAGACATGACAGCAAGAGCCGAAAATGCGGAGGGTAGATACATCTGGTTTACAACCATGGAAAACTTCATTGGGGGTAATTTTTGAGAGTGCTTTGGTTGGGCTTCAGTTCTAGACATAGCTTGCATACTCATGTGCTTTAGGCCAGAAGCATTTTGACATGCTGGCATCTTCGAGCATTGCAAGAGCATGTTCATGTGTGGTTCGGCTTGAAGCTGCTCTGCAACTCCATTTTGCTGAGGTGTACGAGGGGCTGAAAATTCGTGTGTGATGCCCTTCTGCTCAAAATAACTTCCCAGTGTCGAGTTGATGAATTCACCCCTGCAGTCAGAGCGTACTATCTTGACATGATGTTCAGTGTATGTCTCGAGTCGTTTGATGAGTGCTTGATGAAGGCTGGGGCTTGGTCCTTCGACTTCAAGTATTCCTTCCACCCTTTTCGACTATGGTCATCGACAATGGCAAGGGTGTAGAGATAGCCTTGAATGGATTTGTCGAATGGACCTTGGAGATCCATATGGATGCGATCAAGAGTTTTCTTTGCTTGAGTTGCGGTAGATGGGAAGGGGGCCTGGGGTGTTTCCCTTTCGCACATCGTTGCATGGTGGGAGGTCACCATTGCCTCGGAGGTCCATACCTGTCACGAGGTTATGTCGGGTGAGGTAGCGGAGGTTATCGAGGCTGATATGGCAAAGCGAGCATGCCATAATTCGAGTTGGTTGCTGAATGGGTAGAGAGGGCAATATCGTGTCTCGCAGTGGGTGGTGCAATGACACTATGGATCTCGTATAGGTTGTTGGTTAGTCTTCCCTCCATCATAATCTCACCATTGGGTTTCTTAATGGTGAGTCGCCCATTTCACTTCGTGATCTCATCCCTTTTCGGTCATACAGCCCTTCTGACATCAGGTTGTCATGGGCATTGGGACAGTATCGAACATTTGTCAATTTGACAATACAGTCAGGACGTCCCTTCATGGAGACATTAACTAGTACCGATCCATGTCCAAGGACTTGGAGTACAGGTCCGTCTTTCATGATCCCTTGGATATGCTCCTCTGATGGGGTGAAGGTAGCGAAGGCTGTTCGTTCAGTGCATATGTGAGTGGTTGATCCCCCATCAAGGATCCAGCCAAAACGGGAGTGAGAGGGAGGACTGGTGATATAGGATGAGTGTTCAGTGTCTGAGGAATCTTTGTCCACAACAGCTTGGTTGGCTTTCTTGCCTGACTTCAACCTGTATTTCCCCTTGTGGGATTTGTCATCCTTCTTGTCCCCCTTATTACTATCTCTCTTTGGCTTCTGCTTGTCACGATGGGGTCCCTGACCTTGCTTTGCACCACCTTTTGAGTAGCATTCTTTGGTCCAATGACCAGAGATATTGCAGTTCTCGCAGAAAGGTTGGCCTGGTATGGGTGTATGGCTGAGTTTGCTTCGGCCTTTGTTTCCATGTGAGGCTTGGTACATGGTACTGGATGTGCCTGATTGGCTTGTACGGACGCTGAACTCGTCCCTGATTCGCTGTTCGACTTTGACAGATTTGTAATGGTCAGGGAGAGCTGCAAACACATAGTTCCAAGCTGCCAGCATGGATATATGTAGGAAACACACAAATAACTCATCATTGATGTCCCGTCGCATTAGGATGAGATCATGGCAATAGCCCTTCATCTTTGCTATATGGGCATTGATGTCTTCCCTGTCATTATATTTGGTGGTGACGAGAGAAGCCATGACAAGTGTCCAATCTGTCACTGTGGTACCCAAGTATAGCCATTTCACATCTGTCCAGATTTTGGAGGCATGCTGAAGGTGCGCTAATTGGGCTATAACTTCCTCCGTCATGCATGAGGTGAGGACTGAGCAGACAAACATGTTTGCTTTGCTCCAATGGACAGGGTGGTGTCTTTCATTGAGTAAGCTGTGTAGTGGCTGCATGAAGTCTGGGTCTACATAAACATGTAGCCCAATGGTCTCAAGTGCATGGTATACAGTGCTTGTCCAGGTTGAGTAGTTGGTAGATGTGAGCTTGGGATGTAGACGAAGGAGATGGGTGAATTTTGATGGGTCAATGGACTTCTTCAGTGTGAAGTGAGTCTCATCTTCATCAGATGTGTTTTCATCAATGATGTTTGGACAGTGAGGTGTGGCAGATCGCGAATGTGAGGGCGAACGTGAGTTGTTCATAGTTGGGATTCCAATGTTTGTGGGTGAATGTGTTGGTTGGTCAAACATAGCGGGTCCGAGCATTCCGACACACCCTCGAGGGTCTTTGGTCATGGTTCAAAACACGTGTTATATTGATCTTGGTGATATGCAATGGGTATGGTATATTTCAGGAGTTCACAATGTGCGAGAGTGTCTGATGGGTCTTGATAGCAATATCAGTACCTGCGTCAAGCAGGGCTCATAACCTAAGAGACGTCACATGTCTAAAGAGACAAGGACTTCATAAGTCCCCAGTTGAGTATGAACAGACTAATATAGTATGTACCTAAAGAGACAAGGACTTCGTAAGTCCTGTACTACGTCAGTAAGGAATGTGAGTATCATATAGTGAGACTTACCCCAGTCGAGTATGAACAGACTGGGGAAGAAGGGGAAAACGAGACGAGCGAATGTACCTGGAGCGGAGTTACCGTATTTAGTAAGTACGTTGAAGGTAGTGAACGCGACACCAAACAAAAAGAAATATCTATACTACTATGTTGATGGATTGATTTCCAACACTTTCAAGGGGTAAGTAAGACAACACCTGAGCAATGGGGGAAATTGACCTTGAGCACGTCCCGGATGGCAGCGCAGAGTGCATGATTGACAGGCCCAAAATAGAGGTTGCTGCGAGTCTCTGCAAAAGAGGAGATAGCAGTGTAGTAAGTACTGAGAGGCACTATCCATTCCATTAGCGAAGGGATGAATCCATAAAAAGTATGAGCGAGGATGGTTTCCTCTGAGCTGTCAGACAAACCTAGGGGGGGAGGATACAGCAAAACATATTCCCTTTAGTCGGTCGTCATCTTCTGCCTACTATTCAGAATGATGAGAAACATATATTCCCTCAATGCCCCATAGAGACTCAGGTGAGGACAAGGTGAAATACGGGGCAGAAGCATGAGAACCAGGAAGAAAACCGAATTTCTCAAGAACAATTACAAAGTCAAGTGGGAACACCAAAGGTCCAGTCATTGTTGTAATTGTGTGTCGAATATGAACTGAAACGAAGGAAAGGGAGAGGGTCAAAATTTGAGATGAATGGCAAAGTGGAAGTGGTGATCAAACACCTGACACAAACAAGATTGTAGGTTGTTCTGGCTGATACAAAACAAAACAGCCATACACCTCACACACATAACAACCACTCGACATACCATCAAAACATAGAGATCTTTCAAAATCAAAGCTTCTTGCATATCCACGGGAAGATTTTCTAACACATCTTCCTTTGCCTTCCCCTTCTTCATCTTAGGTATCAAAGCAGACGCGCCAACTCGCAAGTTCAATGGTGCGTGCACAAATGAAGTCTCAGCAATAAATGACAGCTCGTGGCTTGCATGCCATCAATGCTGTAACATGCAGGTCATCGAGGGCCATGTACTCTTGCCACAGCTTTCTTGTGATGAATACACACGAACATTTGGATCTTCATGGATACCATCACTCAGTTGTCTGTTTCTGCGAACAGAAGCCAAAGTGCTTGTGATCTGAATGGTTGATCGTCTGCATTGTCATCATAAGCATGCATGGCAAGTAAGGAGACTCATACCTTGCTGTACTCTTTTGCAGACAAACCAAGCTTCTTCTTGTGACCTCCTGGACATGTTTGTGGAGTGTAAGGGTCTATATTAATGGACGACCACGCAAGTTATAGATGGATGCTGTAAGGCTAAGTGCGAGTTTGGTAGGGAATTGCAATTAAAACGATTCTGAAGAGAGACGAGTTGGATATTTTCGAGACGAGTTGGGAATTGGCCGCGACAGAGACTTTCTGAAGGACTTTTCAGTTGTTCTTGGAGTGGGAATCTGACTCTAAGATTCGCTGTAGGTAGGAGAGTACATGAGCAGTATATATACGTTTTCGAATACTTGACTAGGCTGGAACGAGAACATGAAGTGTAAGGCGAGGTGAAAATACTTCGGTGAGACAAGGAGATGGTGAGGTCTGAGCACAAGGTAAGGTAATGAAAGAAAATGGACAAGGGAGATGAAGGAATGTATCCACATAACTTGGATGCAAAGAGTTGCACTCTTCACATCAATGAGTCACGTGGATGATTGCGACCGCGTGGTTCATTGGTGTTCATTTTAGAGCTTGGTCGGGGTGTAGAGAATATGGAATCCTTACAATGCAGTAAATATACAAGACACTTTGGTCACCCCATTTTAGGTACCTCTTAGGTTGTATTATGTCTATAGCAGTAAAGGCCTAAGAGGTGCTTTTGGGGAGGTCCGGCCCATGTTCAAGGGTATTTCCCTGAATATACAGGGACCAAAATGTGATGTAGCGGGAATGGTCCAAGGATCATTATAAAAATCAGGCAGGAAATACCACAGAGTAGCTTTGGACCACAGATACATTGGGATTCCCTGTAGCGAAGGGGTGTCAGGGGTCCTACTGTGGCCAAATTTTCACGATAAATTTTCGAAATTGATAGCAGGATTAGGTGCAGGTAGAGCTCATGGTACCCATGGTTTTACTGTGCTAATGCGTAAGCTGAGATGAGAAGATGATGGAATCACTATCCCTGGTGAATAGGCAGGATCTCTGGTCTCATAAGACACTGGAATCACTGTATCCCTTGAGAATATGCATACCCTGAGGGGGGTCAGCTGCCTTGCAAGATGTTGGAATTACTGTATCCCTTGAGAATATGTGCACCCTGGGGGGGGGGGGGGTCAGCTGCCTCGCAAGACACTGGAATTACTGTATCCCTTGAGAACATGCATACCCTGAGGGGGGTCATCTGTTTTGCAAGATGCTGGAATCACTGTATCCCTTGAGTAATATGAGTATGGGTATTGTCATATCCCACAATCTGGACCCACATTCCATCATATTCCTACGCCTTCCGAGCCTACGTCTGGACCACACTTCATATCCAACTCATTCCCAGATCCCCTTCTGCTGTGTGCTCCACACCTCAGCAGGATCGACTACGCTCCAGATTTACCCCTGAGCTCCGGACCATCAGATCTCCACTGCTAGCCTGAACCATAACCCCCTGTCCCATCCACCCTATGTACACTCCATCTAGCAAGACATCCGGACTTCACCTCATCTCAGATTCTGGACTCTATCCACCTTCTCATATCCTGGTCCTGTATCCACCTTGTCTTCCGGATCCCCAGATCTCCGGACCTCCGGATATTAGCTCTGGACCTATTCCCACCCTCTGTCCAATATCCTGCGCCTATCCCCATTTAGGCATTCTCTGCTTTCCGGCTTTCGGTTACCTCTTCTGCCGTCTTGCTTATTGATCCTTGTACAAGTCTTCATCTCCAAGTCCATTTACTTATGTTCTGTCTTACTTACTAATGTGTTTCCACATGCTCGTACATAGCCTTGCTCCTTTGCTTACTGATCCCCTCAGATATTGTTCAGTATATAACCCCTGTAGATACTCCTGTAGTTCCTTAGTTTGAATATCAACTTAGACTTGCCCAATCATCTCTTGGACTTTGGTCCACCTAAGTCTGTCCTACCCATCAGGCCTAGGGATTGATTCCCTAGGCCAGAGTTCCGCCTTTCCGGCACTTACCCTCTTTCTGGACTTAGGTCCAATCCCTGTCTCTCCAACTCTACCTTAGGGTAGTCTACCTCTGTTTGTTTCTACATTGGACTTCGTCTGATGTAGCCCCTATTCCTTCTGGACCTCCAGACCTCCTGTCCTTTGGACATTCTGCCCTCCGTACCTTCAGATGTTCCGCCCTCCATACCTTCGGACATCCTGTCCTTCTGTCCTTCTGTCCTTCTGTCCTCTGTCCTCCTGTCCTCCTGCCCTCCTGTCCTCCTGTCCTCCTGTCCTCCTGTCCTCCTATCCTTCTGTCCTTCTGTCCTTCTGTCCTTCTGTCCTTCTGTCCTCTGTCCTCCTGTCCTCCTGTCCTCCTGTCCTCCTGTCCTCCTATCCTTCCATCCTGTTTCCTGTAGAAGTATTACCTTGCAGTGGGAACTTTCCTGAGCACTTCCTGTGTTCCTCCAGAACTCTCCCGCGCTCCTCTGGAAGTCCTCTGGACTTCATCGGACCATCATTGGACCTCATACGAAATGAAGGGCACATACTCAGGTAAGGGGCACAGCATACGAGCTGAGGCCAAGCCCCTCTGAGTCAGTCTCTCTCCCCCTTGAGCAACATGGTTCTTAACAGGTATACTGTGGGTACAGATGCAGGTAGACCTCAGTCCCTGGGAAAGACCATTGATACTTTTCACCATCATCAGGAAGAACCAGATTGTGAGGGGAAAGACCATTGGTATAATTTATACTGTTTGGGAAGGACCAGAATGTGAGGGGAAAGACCAGCTTGCAAGGGGAAAGACCAGCTCACAAGGGGAAAGACCATTGGTACTTTTCACCATCATTGGGAAGGACCAGATCATGAGGGGAAAGACCAGATTGTGAGGGGAAAGACCATTGGTATAATTTATACTGTTTAGGAAGGACCAGAATGTGAGGGGAAAGACCATTGGTGCTTTTAAATTAATCAGGAAAGACCAGCTTGCAAGGGGAAAGACCATTGGTGCTTTTTAAATTAATCAGGAAACACTAGCTCATGAGGGGAAAGACCATTGGTACTTTTCACTGTCATTGGGAAGGACCAGATCATGAGGGGAAAGACCATTGATACTTTTCACTGTCATTGGGAAGGACCACGTAGCAATGGGAAAGACCAGATCATGAGGGGAAAGACCATATCAGGAGGGAAAAGACCACTGGTATTTTTTACTGTCAGAGGGAAAGACCAGATCATGATGGGAAAGATCATTAGTATGTTTTAATCTAACCAGGAAAGACCAGATCACAATGGGAAAGGCCATTAGTATGTTTTAAACTAACTGGGAAAGACTACTGGTATTTTATACTGTCATAGGGAAGGACCATATGTGCTTTTTAAAATAATTGGGAAGGACCAGATCAGGGGGGGAAGGACCATAGTTACTTTTTAATTTGCCCTTATCAAGAAAGACCAAGGTGTTGTGCACATATTAAATTTATTATGTAATATCTATATGCAATACTATCTTGTAGGACATGAAGTCCAGCCCTTCCCTCTAGTTGTCATGGTGCTCAGAATTAGACTCACTATCTCAAATGGTTTCTGGTTCTGAGGGTAAGAATCCTGCTACAATTCAATTGAAAGATGTAAATAAGGGCAGACTGAGTCACAGACTTGACAGAAAGCCCCCACCCTTTTCTCCCCACACCTCACCGCAATATTGTTGCAATGCTGGACCCCTCCTTCATTTTGCCAGTTAAAGTCTTATTTACTGGAAAGGTGAAGGAGAAAATGGCACAACAGCTCAATCAATACAAAAAGACAATGTTGCAGCTCAATGTTCACTAAGGTGCCAACATCTGAAACAGGGCAGTCAATCACTAGAATTAAATGGAGGATAGAGCATAACGGGGTGGGCATATGTAATGCACATAAGTGATATCATAGGTGGAGACATGTGTCATATGAGGGTGGATATACATGAGAGGAGAATACATAGGATTGAGAGACATGGGATGCATAGGATGATGAGGAAGTAGAATAAACAAAATGAAGATCACTGAATTATAAGCCAAGGACTCGAGTTGTAGACACTATGGAGAAAGCTGAGGCTGTAAAAGTTAGTTATACTCATCTTCGTCCACCTCATTGACATCAATGATTGGACGGTGATTGGGAGATGCAGGGCAGAAATGAGGAGATCAGGCACATGGATGATGACGGCACAGAGAGGAACCAGAACGGCAAGAGACAGGTGCATGTGAGGAATGCACTGGCAACTGAGAATGGTGAGAGACAGGTGCATGTGAGGAACGCGCTGGCAACTGAGAACGGGAGGTGCTGGCAATTGGTGGAGGTGGGTGTGACTGAGGATGACCAGACAGGATATGGCAACTAAGGAAAATATATGACAGTTAGTTGAGATACATTAACATTAGAAGAATAACATACTTATTACCTTGCAACCTGGCATGGTACCTTTCCACTATTGTCTTGTTCTCCAAGTCACCAGCCTCGCGTGCAGTTTCATAGTTGTCCCACATCTGCTTGTGAGTATCTGAATCATAGGGCAAAGTATGACTGTTGTCACATAGGCCACCACGTTGATGTTGACCTTCATAATGAGGACGCTCATACTGAGAATGCTCATACCAAGAAGTAGGGGGGTGCACAGAATCATGGGCATATAAGGAAACTAGAATGGTAGACCCAGGACTTGAAGACAAGACAATTGTTGATGGTGTTAGTGGAGGAGATGAGGGTGGAAGACCCTGACAAATTTCCCAGTGGTGGGCTGAGGCAAGCATGAAGCTTCCTGGTGAGATTGCCTAGCATTATGGTTGGAGCATGGAGCTCTGTGGTTGGAGCATGGAGCTACCTGGGTTGGGCGTGAAGCCACCTGGGTTGGGCGCAGAGCTACTTTGGTTGGGTGCAAAGCCACCTGAGTTGGGCACAAAGCTACTGGAGTCAAGTGCACAGCTTCTTGGTCAGACAAAGGGAGCTCTTCAGTTACCTGCTTGGTACTAGCTTGATCTGGGAGGGGGAAGTCCTTGAAAAACTTGACTGAGTCCTGAAGCTCACGGAGGACCTCGCCATTCATGTCAATGACCAAGGGGATCGAATACATTGAGGGAGACTGAGACTCTAAATGTTCAACATCAACTGTAGTATCATTAGTGCGTGCATGAAAGAGACAACTAAAAACATACACTCAGACCACTCTCTAATGGACAACACAATGTCCAGCTCCTCTACTATTGTACCCTTCGTCCTTCTGTTGTTGTTCGACTTCTTGGATTTACCCTTATGCTTCTTTGTCTTTGCAGTTTCTGCCTCACTATCATCATCCTCATCATCTTGACCTAAGTCAACCTTATACATTGCCCCAAGATGCATCCTCAGGTAAGGAACTACCAGTGCACACAACTGGCTTGCTGACAATGCTTTGAGATCAAAATTGGGGCTGGGGGGCGGTACACTGGCAGGCCAGTTAAGGATGAACAGCTGCTCAACATAAAGAGTATTGAGCATGTCCAACCACCTGTTGTTTGAGGTTTTGAGCAGATGGCCAGCTTCAGCTACCAATCAGACATGCCATCAGTAAATTAGTGACACAATAAAATAAAATAAAACATACCAAACTTCTTGCTGATGATCATTGGTGCGACTTTTCTGTTCCTGTCCCTAGCAGACTTGCCGTTGCACAAAAGCGTGCCATTTGGGACAGCGGTAGAGCAAGGGAGAAAAATAAAAGATATCCCTTCTGCTTGCGCAGCCTCTAAGTCTTTGTACCTATAATGAAGTGAGCAATATCTGGCAGTATTGTCAGAAAAAGCACTTGAGTATGGTTGTGAGCTCATCCAAGATACGACTGATGTCAAGTTGTCATGCATTGATGATGTCCTTCATGATATCAGACCCAGAGAAAAACCCTGATGCTTGGCAGCCAGCATCCTCATGACCAGGAAATATTGCAACACCAGAAATATGAATACCATGGGTGTGGTACCAGTAACCAGCCTGTGTAATACTTAGTCTCTCCATCAATGTCCTATTAATGTGAGACTCACCGCTTTTGAAAAATCATCATGAATGCGCAGCATCAGAGAACTAGCAGATCGTGACATCAAGTCCTCAGTTGCACCAGCAAGTGAACCATCCCAATACTCCTGAATCTTCTGCCACAATGCTGCATGTTTGGGGTCTTTGTATGGATGGGCCTTGTAGTGTGCTGCTTGCTCCTCCTTCCAAGCTTTGATATCCTCTGCGAAGAATGTAAGCATACCACACACACCCGCAAAGGAATATACATATGTTCTTGAGAGGGGGGGCTAAAAGTCTTGAACCATGTTTGGTGCTGATTCCAAGGAGACTCCTTGCGCATTGCCTTCATGGCCAGCCCTGCCTCAATGAGGATCACCCTCGCACTTTTGCTATATTCTATCCCTAATGCTTTTGCTGCTTCGATGGTGGTTCGCCCAAGTTCCTGCACCTTGGAGACTGCTTCCAATGGCAGCCTTCCCTTCTTGGTGGGGCCTTCGTCACTCTTATCCTCATTGACCTCCTGTTCCTCATTATAGTCCTGCTCGTCATTGTCACCCTCATCAAACGCCTTGGCTTTGCCTTTTCCTTTTCCTTCACAGGTCAATTGGAGTGGAGACGGAGGGGGATTGTCACCATTGTCATCACCATCAATGGCAGAAGGATGCGCAGCTTTTTTGCACTTTTCTTCGTCAGCAGCCCAGTCACTGTCAGAGGGTGAACTCTCTGCACCATCGCTGTGGTTGTGTGTGTAGGACTTTGCAGCAGCCGACCTACATGGGTGAGGAACAACTGCAATGTTTGATTTGCTCTGGGCAGTAGACGCTAAAATAACTGTAAGTGAACTAGAAGATAAGAACAGCTCAGAATGACATACCTGAGGTATCATTACAAATGTAAGTGGCTTCCTTTGGCTTGTCTGATTGATGAGCAGTGGAGACTAAAAGGATAGTTAGATGTGACCTAGTAATCTAATGCTGGGAGTGACAGACCCAAAGTGTCCTTGTCGCCTGCTGTGACATCTCCTGAGTGGTGTTGATTCAGAGCTTCATTGACTGTGGTAGGTGTCATCTTGGTGGCATCCGACCTACGCAAGGGGAGAGCAACTGCAACATTTGATTTGCTTTGGGCAGTAGACACTAAAAACTGTAAGTGGGATAGAAAATAAGAATGGCTCAAAATTACATACCTGATGTATCCTTGCAAACATCGGTGGCATCCTTTGGCTTGTCCAATTGGCTTTGAGCAGTGGAAACTAAAACTACAGTTAGTTGACCTCAAAATGCAACATTTGGAGCGACAGACCTGGAATGCTCTTGTCGCCTACTGTGACAACTACTGAATTGCAGACAGGGGCAGGAGCTAGCAAACATTGAGTTAAGGTAGATGTTCACCAAATAAAAGGTGCTTGCCTGATTCCTCATCACCATCCATAGCTACCCTGTCAGTATCAGCTTTGGAATTGTTGTAGGCAGACATCTTTTGGATGGATTGGCGCCTCGAAAAATTTGAGAGAAAAATCCCCTCCTCAGCTGATGAGGTCATGGGACCTGACTGTGTGGAGGACTGTGGAAGGGGACAGGACTTTGGTCGGGGTCAATGCACAGACAGCTAAGAAGTTAATGGTGATACCAACAATGATATGACCACATGGCTTACCTCTTCTCAGTTTTTGTTGCTGACGACAGACTTGGGGCCTGCATGGCGGTGGGGTTTGGGATGTTCGGGGGCTAGAACATCAATAACATCAAAAATCATTCTAAAAATTTGAAAAAGATCAACTTGCCTCCATGTCATCAGCATCGGACTCCATAGGATGTTTTGCCCTGCAGGTCTTGATATAGGGCACAGTTAGTTAGTGAAGACAAAATATCAAGAGCTATTACTGTTCTGGTCTTCGTCACATTGCATGCCAGGGTTCCATCAGGCAGATGTGAGGTTGAAATAATATTCCAACAATCACGAAGATACGTAGAATTTAAGTTGAGAACTCAAAGTTTTCTCAACAATGTTTTGCAACATGAAGTTGGGCAAGGCAATAATCAGTAGGGAAATGCTAAGAATGCTTGCAATGATATTATGGGGATGAGATGCTCAGAATTTGGAGGATTGCCTTTATAACATGAATGGGCACTACTGTGATCACCCTGAAAGCCAAACTCCGCTAGCACCAAAAATGAAAGAATTAATTCAGTTTCTTATAATTCAGAGGTGTTAACCACGTACAGTGCTGTATGCATAAAAAGCTAGCTTTGAAAATAATTAGATTATGAATGAGGACAGAAGAATGAGAATCTCCTGAAAACAGTGGAGATATCAGTCTGATGTGAATGTATGGAAGTCTCACCAATTAGATAGAGGAGTGAAAACAGTGAGATTGCACAAGGCAACACTGATGAACTTGAGGTGGGAGTGATGGCAGCAACACACCAAAAGAGGGTCTTGAACCCTACTGGTGCAGCAACGAATGAGCAACCAGGGTGACCCTCAAGACACGAAGTCTAGGAGTGGATGATCAGCAACACAAAGTCAACTGACCAAAAATCAAATGGCATGGAGCCAGTTCAAGCCAAGAGAGGACCAGGCGCAGAAAAGGACGATGACAATGGCAAGGGCAAGGGCGATGATGAGGACAAGGACAAGGACAAGGACAAGGACAAGGGAAGGAGATGTTGAGGGAAATAGTGGTAGTGGAGATGTCGAGGGAAATGATGAGTAGGAAGGAATAAAGAATTACAAGGAATATTGAGTCAAAATCAATCATTCTGGGACTTTCCCACAGTTTGGCAAGTTTGGCAACCAAACTTAGCCAACTCTGGGAAAGTCCCAGAATGATTGATTTTGACTCAATATTCCTTGTAATTCTTTATTCCTTCCTACTCATCATTTCCCTCGACATCTCCACTACCACTATTTCCCTCAACATCTCCTTCCCTTGTCCTTGTCCTTGTCCTTGTCCTTGTCCTTGTCCTTGTCCTTGTCCTTGTCCTTGTCCCTGTCCTTGTCCTTGTCCTTGTCCTTGTCCCTGTCCTTGTCCTTGTCATTGCCCTCACCCTTGCCATTGTCATCGTCCTTTTCTGTGCCCAGTCCTCTCTTGGCTTGAACTGGCTTTGTGCCATTCGATCTTTGTTCAGTTGACTTCGCATTGCTGATCATCCACTCCTAGACTTCGCATCTTGAGGGTCGCCCTGGTCGCTCATTCATTGCTGCACCAGTAGGGTTAAAGACCCTCTTTTGGTGTGTCACTGCCATCACTCCCACCTCAAGTTCATCAGTGTTGCCTTGTGCAATCTCACTGTTTTCACTCCTGCATCTAATCAGTGAGACTTTCATACATTCACCTGCTCCACTGTCTACTGATCTCATGTTTCGCAGATTAGATTCCTTACATTTGTCTTCCTTTGTGGTAGGTACTCTTTATCACGTATTGTATGATAACCAGTGCTTACACTCTCACGATATCATATTCAGGTGCATTGTGACTTTTCATCAAGTGTGTGCTACATCAACTTGGCAGTTTTCATCATGCCCACCACTCTATCGATGTTCAAGAGCAACACAACTCTTTGGGATGGTAGGAGGGGTTATTTCTGACATCTGTATCCTACTAATGTCCATACATACTACAGGATGGCTGCAAGCTTATGACACCTGCACCATTGCTGTCCAAGGAAATTTGGTTATCACAACACCAAACATGGACTTCGTTCCTGCATTCCACCATTTTGAAGAGGAAAACATACAGGCTTGTGTGGATGGTCATTTCAGTCCAATAGATTGCTTTCAGTGGCCTCAAGCTTATGATCACGTTTTTTGCAATTCAACTTGCATTCCTTGAAAGGAGGCATTCCCTTCCCCACATCCACTACATTGGGCTTGGTTCACTCCCACCCAAGAAGACTTCAAGCCAATCCCAGGCAACTCATTCCCTGTAGGCACACTCACAATGGATAAGGTCAAAGGCTTGGATTCTCTTTGCAAACTGGCAGAGAAGCAGGTGCAGGATTGGAGAGCTAATTGGCAAGGCAAGAATGATACTGTTGTCAGTCGCATCTTGTCCCTTCGACATGGCATCTCATGGTTGAAGACGCATCCCCTTACATTCTGCGACCTTCTCATGTTCATGACTGATGCCCAACGGCTGTTTCTCAAGATTTATTCATTCATGGACTGGATCCTCCTTGCTCAGCCTTGTATCACTGCCGGTGACAGGACTGCCATCGTCGACTTGGAGTGGATGGGCACCTTCATGCACAACAGTGACACGTGCAACAAGCTGTACATTGCTGGTATCCCTGTTTGGTATGTCTGCACCATGGCATACATACCTTTGAATATGACAGTAAAACAGCCCATTTTACTCACCCGTCCTGATCAAATCATCCTTGCAATGTATGCAGAGGGCAACAAAATTCGACCGTATGAAATCATCTATCGTGGCCCAGGCAGCCACAATCGTCAGCTTCATGTTTGCCGCCTCTATGGGGGCACAACATTCAGAGACCCCAAGCCAGGTCCTTTGTCAGGTCCTTTGTCGAGCAGCTTATCTGCACCCAGTTCTTCTACTGCTGGGCCATCCTCTCAACCATCCATTGCAGGCAAGGCCCTTCCAAAACATCATAACAAGAAGCACAGGCACCAGCCCTGTAAGTACTACTCGCCCCTGTTTCTTATGTATCACAACTAACTACTAAATATTAGACGTCAAAGATGCTTGGCCTGTGCACCACAACCAGTCAGGTGAATCCATTAGGGACAAATGGAAAGATCCTGAGAGCCCCTACTTCCTGCCGTCAATGCTTCATTGGGATGATGCCCTCAAAAGATGCATCAAGGATTCATCTCATGTCCACACTCCCTACATCATTGACTGAGGATACAGGTTCCCCGAACCAGGTCTCCTATTCAGTCCCAAGCTGCCGGAGCGCCTTCAGGGATACATAGCCACTTGGCTCACCTGTTGTCCAATATAGATCAGGTGGGTTGATCACAACCCTCCTCACAATTACCCATCCCCTCAACTATGGCGTGACTTCCTCGGTAGCAGGATTTCTGCCCAATCACAAGCCACAGCACCCAAAGCAAAAGCTCCTGAAAAAAAGTTCTTACTGTGGTGGAGAAGTGCAAGGGAATGATGAAGGATTTGTTCAGAGATGATATGGTGGACTCTCATGGAGATTTATTTGCACCAGAAGGAATGGTAGAATTTTGTGGTGAACAGGTCCCTGTCGCCAGTCTCACCCACCCTCCCCAGCTCCTTGCCCAAAAGATTACCTGGGAGTTGTTTGAGCTTGGATTCTGCTATGAATTGAGGGATCTCGATCATCACTTGGCCAAGGGATGCTGGGCAGAAGATCTGGTTGGTCACAAACAGTTGCTGCATGCCATCTTCCCTGGTGAGGCTGGCCTTGTCATGTGGTCGGAGCCATTTCTGATGGACAATTACGGGATGTGGAATAACACCTTAATTGGTGTTCTTCCATACCTTGACAGTTTCCAACAGCTGCTGTGCTCTTGGGATGATGTGCTGCCCCTTCTTACATCGCTGCTCATGCAAGAGACTTTTATGGACACAAAATTGTGGGAAGTCACTCGCACTGCGACTGCATTTTATGTTCAGACGTTTTTTGATCACTTCAGTAGGCCTCCCATTGTTCCTCACTTGCTCCTTCTGTAATCATGATTTCATAATGCTACATCGCATATTACATTTTCTTCCATGTTTGTGTATAAATATTATGTTCCCTCAGCCATAATGGATGCTTCTGTGGTTTACTCTAATCCCATTTTAGTGGTGTGGTGCGCGTATTTGTTTCTCCAGCCTTCTGCTTGACTTTTCTGCACAGGCATAGGACATAATGTGTTCATATTCTCTGGGGCCACCAACTCGAGCAGTTTGTCCCGACTTATTCTTATTTTTATTATATTTACCTTCTCCATCCTCCACTTCCTTCCATTATCTTACTCTGCCCACATTTGTGCCTCCCTGAGTGAGATGACAAAAACATCCATGACATGTGGTCGATGCCTGATTGGGCTAACCTGAAGGGACGATGCAAACCTTTTCCCTCCATATTTTCCCATTCTGATACTGAATTATTATCCTGTTGATCATTCGCTTCTGCTTGTTATACTTCATTTTTTTTTCCCTCTCTTTTCATTCAATGTGCAGGTCAGCCTGCATGCTTGACCTTTATTGATCTCTCCTGTCTGTCGCTGATAATCAAGCCCCACAGCTACTCCAACTGACTTCACATTGTTGGTGACTTCTGTTCACAAGTTCATCCAAGTGACTTTGAGTCATTGGTGTCTCACTTACTCCAATTGACTTTGTGTTGTTGGTGTGTGGCGCCCATTATATTGACTCTTACAGTGCTGCGCTATGGCGGTCCATCATCCTAAGCCTAGACATCGCAAAGTATCCACTCTGGAAGCGGCATCTGCCATGCAGGAAGAACTGCCCCCAAGTACTATAGTCTGTCAACCTTGGATGAACAAGGCATGGTGATGTCCCCACCAGACTCACAAGTTAGACCTCTATCTTCCTGGCCCACCCCCTGTCTTGATTATGCCTGGACATCAGCGTCTCACTCAGCATTTATCTCTTCCATCTGCACCTAGGACAGTTACCCCCCAAGATTGTGATGGACCCACAGATCCTTTTAGTGACTCCCTCTATTTCTTCAATGGTCCCAGTGTCTGTCATCTCACCAGCTCGCAGAAAAAGACCAATCAGTGGTGCAGATGGTCAGAAGAAGTTTTTCCATCACTTATAGTGCCCTATCTAGTGTACATGCAGGAGACTTCAATGCTATGCTACACCAACATGGTATGACAGCCACACAGAGATACTGTAGCTTGTCATGCTGGGTGTGGGACATAGTGTTGCCATGGTTCTGGCTAATGCCGGCAGTAGCCGGTTCTAATTCACCAGCTTGACCGGAACTGCAAAGACAGTTCTGCTTACATAATCATGGCACAGTCTGGCTAATATAACTGAAATAAGTGCTGTAAGCCAGCTCAAGCCAGCTTTTCGCATCTTACAAAAATAAATCAAAATTAGCACCCTGTGAAATGAAAAGGGCCGCATCGATGTCATTCAGTTGCTCATCATTGTTGGGGCGGAATTCATCATTGTGGTTGCCCTCAGCTCACATTCCAAGTTCTTCATCAGAGTTCACTGGATCTTCAAGGTTCAGTCGTCCAAGGTGTTCAAAGATTTTGGCATCAGGCTACATAGAGCAATTTGAGAGCAAATCATGGTTGAGCTTTTCAGGTTGAGGCTCTGGGCCTTCAAGAGGTTCACACTTCGATGAAGGCTGCCCAATGCTTGAAACACCAGTGCCAAAAGCAGAAGTTGCCCCATTCAGGGCTGATGTGGAAGAGAGGTTGCTGGGCATACCAGTGATGCTAGGAATAGTGGGACTGGACTGTGGTATTGGAGGTAGCGATTCCAACAAAGATGCCCCAAAGGATGACATCGGTTTAAATGGCTTGATACCACTGAAGCCGGTAATTTGGGGCTTTAGCTGGCCACCTAAAGGCGACATAGAAGGAGTGGAAGAGGTGATGGTGGCACCAGTAGGTTGCATAGACAGTGGTGAGGAGGAAGAAAACAAAGAATCTGATGCAGTCAATGCAGTTGTGGTGGAGGATGTGCTCTGGGGATTGAGTATTCCAAAACCATTAGGCCCAAATTTGCTGTCCTCTGATTTTCAGCTGAATGCAAAGGACAAGGTAACACTCGATATCGATGACTCACCACATAATGTGCCTGGCAGTCCAAAAAATCCTGTCTGTTGTGGCTGTTGGGTCTGAGGTTGTGCAAAATTAGCAGGTGGAATATTGTTCAAGCTTCCGATACCCATGGCCAGCTCCATCAGTGTTGGTGGCTTTGGCACTGGTGGGGCTGGCATGGTTGGCACTCCAAACGGATTGCATGAGCCAGTCTGGTGAGATTTGACAGGTTGTGCTACTGGCGGCGAGGTTGAAGACGCCTGCATTGCACCAAAAGTTGTGAGGGGAGTCGATGCAGGTTGAGTAGGGATGTCGAATGACGCATGCACCCCATTAATCTGTCCAAACTGGGTAGTTGTGGAAGGCGGCTGCATAGCAAATCCGTTCAAGGACTGTGTGAATAATGCCTGTGATGGCTGAGGCTGGGAAGGAAGCTGGAATGGTATGTTGGTTTGTCCAGCAGGCTGCAATTGGGGCGAGAATGCATTTGTTGCCCCAAAGTTAAAAGTGGGCATGCCTGTCCCCTGCAGCAGCATCATGCTTTGTCTAAATGGGTTTGCACCAGTAGCTTGAGACTGCAAGAAACCTGCACCTTGTGGTTGCAAGAAGGTAGAGAAAGGTTGATGTTGGTGTTGAGAGGATGGTGATTGCTGACCAAAGGAGTTAGGCTGAACTGACTGGAAGGACTGGGGAGGGAAGGCAGTAGCCTGCGGTTGAATCTGACCAGGGAAACCAAAAGGTTGGCCTTGAAAAGCACTGGTCATTTGTCACTGAACAAAAGGATTAGGCACTAGCTGTTGACGGAAGTGGTTGGATGTTGGGCTGTGCGAAAATTAGCAACATCCCTGAGATATCGGCAGTGATTCGTTGCTTACCTGCTACTCGTAGGATTGAACATGGTAGGTTGATCTTCCTTGACAGAAGCAAAGAAGTCTACCATAGCCTGAGTAGCTTCAGGCTTGGGTGCAGGATTGGAAGCTTGAGTGGATGGCCCATTTGATGGGGTAGTTGTGGATGCAGTGGATGTGGATGGGATTGCTTGTGATGATGAAATGGCTGATAAAGCGCATACAGCTTCAAGGCAGATGGGTGTCGTGCTGTCGGAAAGCACCCACCTGACATAGCGTAGGTAGGACGTGTTGAGGAAATGGGTGGGGTAGTGTGTAAACCAGTGACCCATTGCATGCACGCACTCAGTGCAGATATGTGTTGAGGTTGGTGTGGAGATGCCAAGTTCGTCCACAGATGCTGTGTGCTGAGAGGTAGGAGTAGTGGTAGAAGATAGAATAGGTATCCAGTACCAGCAAAATAGTATGAGTGGAGTGTCAAAGAGTACTAGTAAGGTGCCATTTGAGTGAATTACTGGGCAGCACAGGGCTCAAAGCAACTTCAGGCACCCTGGCAAAGGTTTGCTTAATGCAATGGTTACTGACCATGGTTCAAAGCAACTTCGAATGCCCTGGCCATACCCATGCACAAACCAAATTCACGACCTTTCTAGAGGATCTGTCAAAATTCACGCAAAAAGTCCAACAGGGTGCATGTGACGTTTATTGGAAGCAGGAAGCCTGAGAACAAACAACAACAACATTTGACTCTATAGTATATCTGACAGTGAATGAATGGTAATTATATGAACATGCTGGTCTTTATCTGAGATATTTGGGCATGCATGGCACATGGCTGTTAAGAAGATGATGAGGTTGTAAACATGAAAGCAGGGCAGCAAGGCTAGTAGAGACGAGTGACTGATGAGGCAAAGGAGGAAAGACTAAGACCAATAGATGAGCGAAGGATGTAAGGTGCCAGTAGGTAAACAATGAGCAAGAAAAGTAGTTATAGTGATGCATAGATGATGGCAGCATCCTCAACATCATTGCACTCTTGGTCTGTGATAATTTTGAGGAGCACTTCATGTGTGGAACTGCCAGATGAAGTTTTGCTAATGTTAGATGTGAAAACCTCACCAGGCTCTACATCATGTAGCACCTTGTATTCCATGTCTCGCTGTGATGCTGCCCACCCTTTGGTGAAGTTGAGCCTATCTTTTTCAGTATGAACTTCATGATCTGTAGTGCCTCCATCAGCATGGGGCTAAGGCGGTTCCGTTTTTGCGTGTCAGTCTCACTACTCAATGAGAACATGCGCTCGCAGGGGACAGTGGATGCCTGTATTGGGAGATAGTCCAAGGCAATTGCATAGATTGTCGGAAACATGCCCTGAGAGGCCTGGTCAACATTCCATGGTCAATACAATGTAGCTCGAGAAGATATGAGGCTCTTACCATCCAAAACGAGAGAATATTTGTGCCTTTGGGGCTGCAAGTAGCTGTGCTGTATGCATTGAACTTCTGTTGGACCATTTGGGCACCTCTGTTGTGATCTGATGGCATGTCTATGTCAGGAAGGCCATAGAGGCGTGAACCTAGCGTGCTTGGCTTTTGTACTGCCCGTACAGTGGGTGCAGGACCAGAGGCCAGGGTCCCTCTCTTGGCATGCATCTAGACAATACATTCAATATTGCACCATTATTGGCAAAAGACATATGTACAAGTTTAATGATAAATTTCTTGGCATCATTAGTTCATGGTTGACCCCAATGGTGTTCCATCCACGTCATCCATGAAGCAGGATTGATGACTAAAAGTAACAATGAGAATCAGACTTCCATTAAAAAATGCAGAACTGACACATAGAGACCACATAAGCATTGGTGGTGCCCATTCGATCATCATATTTATCTGCCCACAACAAGCCTATGCTAATCAGAGGCGCAAAGTGCGGGAAGTGGTTCCCTATGTGATTCCATCCCTTGATCAATCTTTCAAAGGTTGGAACTGCGCCACTCAGTGTCGGAGTGCTTTCACTTGACATTGCTTGTTGAGCAGCATGCGGTACCTAATATCAGACAGTGAGACAGATCGTAGATTTAAAATACATTAGCACTGACCTCCAAAATTACTTCGAGATCCTGCAGAAAGTGCCATTCCATTGGAGTCAATCTCTTGTCAGCAATCAGGTGTTGATTTGGGTTCTGAAAGAACATATCCACAGCCTAGGCTACCGTTAGCCTGCGACAGACGCTAGTGGGGTGGAGGCTTACCTGGCAAAGGGTTCGTAAGCAGTTCAACATGACATAGACTGAGTCCCAATGTGTTGGCTCATCATGGAGGAGTTGCATGACAGGCAGCCATGTGGGAGAACCTGTGTGATCTAGGAACCATTTATTCTCATTACCTGTGGTAATGGTGAGTGTGAAACTGTCATGGCACTGGATCGATGCATGGACTGTGCGTACAAGCACTCTAGCTCAATCAAGGGCTTTGCCTGCTAGGGCTTGGACATATGCTGCCTTGTCGATGGTCTCACCACCGACTACCCATGTCTCCAACACATCTGAAAAGTCAGCAATTGAGTACTTGTCAACAATGTGTTTCACACATATGTTGATAATATGGGGGAAGCATGGGATCCAGTGCTCGATAGGATCAAATTCTATCCTGCGTTCCTTCAGTAGATGTGAGTACTCTTGCATGGAAGTGTGATTGTTACCAGCGTTGTCTAGGGTAAAATGTCCAGTCTAAATGGATTCAGATCATGTCACCGGTAAAACTAAACACAGACCTTCTCTGTTACCTTGGCACAATCAAGGAGGCCCAATATCAATTGGCCTAGACAATCTCCTGCATGACTCCCTGGTGTGTGGTTGAAAGCGATCAGCCCTGCCCTCAAGACAAGCACAGAAGTTTTCGCATCTTTAGCAATCCAGTGAGCTGTTATCGCCATGAAAGGGCAGAGGATGGAGTCTGACCACAGGTCAGATGTAAATGAAATCTTTCCCTGTGCCATCTGAAAGATATAAGATACTTTTCATGACTTAAGACAACTGTACTTACCACAAGGTCCTTTTTCAAGGCCTCAAAGTACTCATCAAAGGCCTCAAGGATCAACTTGCGAAATTTTGTGTGATGGTAGATATCACTCTCGTTCAATTCTGGCCATAGGAGGTGAATTAAGCGGTGAAACTCTGGACATTCAATGATGTTGATGGCCTGAAGGTGTTATCAACAATAGCACATAGGAAGTGAACAGTGACTCACTTGATCATCTGCCACAACAAACCTCACCAGTTGTTGATGCATCTCATCAAGGGTGAAGTTAGGAATTTCATCCTCCAGAGTTCCTTGTGGTCCAGTTCTGATCAGCACATCATTATGAATAGGGACATCTCCAAGCGAATCAATTGTGTGAGTTGGATCTCTAAGCCTTTCGCATATTGCTGTGACTGTCCATCCTTCATCAAGAAGAGTGTTTAAAGGCTTGATCTGTATGGGCCAGCCCTGGTGCCCTGCCTCCTCCAAGTAAATGAGGGTATGATGATGGTATACATGGTGATGAGGGCCTGTATTGCTGGTGGTGGTTTTGTACATTGTAACTTTGTATGTTGGGTCAAGTTCATGCAAACACCTAGTGAATGATATAAGAATGAACACAAGAATCACAGAGATAATGCTCACTCGCAAGGTATGCAGGTATTACACCCAGTAACTTCATCCAGCCTGAAAAAGAAATGGAAATCATCAGTGCCTTTGGCCTTTTTCATTAGACTACCAGTGTCCAAGAGAGTAGTTTGGGTGGGATGGTCATTATGCGCGGCTGTCTGAAGTGGACTAGGGGCTGCAGGAGCCCTAATGGTAGGTGCAGGCGGGCCATACTCTTCATCATCATCATCACCAGAGACATTGTCAAGGTCAAAACATTCCCCTTCATCCACCATAGGTTGAGAATGGCTGAAGTCTTGATATCTACGAGGGAGCTGGCATTTTCAATTAGGGTTTGTAAGTGCATTTGCTGTGACGACAGTGTGGATGGTGACAGTAACCGGGATGGGGACAATGGTAACAGGGGTGGGAATAACACCAGTGGGGATGGGAATAACACCCACAGGGATGGGAATAACACCAGCAGGGACGGGAATAGCATCAACAGGGACAGGAATAACAGCAGTGGGGATGTGAATAACACTGGTGGGGATGGGAACAGTGGGAGCAGGTATGGTGGCCGTCTTGGGTGCATGTTGACAAGGTGCCATGTTGGTAAGAGCAGCAATGCAGATATAACAACATAATTGCCTGTTTATATAGACCTGCATCAAGGGAGACCCTGCAAAATGCCAATAGATTAAAGCTAACCTTGAAAAAATGTGTTCATCCATGAAGTTGATGGGCTAATCGGTGAATGATCCAATAAGGTTCACCTAGGGAAAGAGCAGCAACATGTTTTGTGGAATATCCCCCCATGCAGCATGTGATGGGGTTGTCCAACAAAAGAGCAGTGACACATTTAGTGACTCTGGAGAGTCCCCAATAGCTTTAGATGTGATGGCAAGTACTGATCCGGGCAATCTCGTATCTGAAGACTGGAGACCTTTCAATAAGTTTCAATAAACACTTGATGACTAATTAACATTCATATTACCTTGTTCGCCATGGCCCATGGGACTGAATTTCTGGTGCAAGGATTGAAAGGATCTGCGGCAGCGCAATATGTTGAAGGGAGTGTTGAGATAAGACATAAGAGGGCATGCCGTGGAAGTCGAGACTTGAGGGTGTGCACTGCGCAGTCTGATTCAACAATGACAAATTTTGTATAATAGCTATTCATACAGCTAGTTGTAGACCAATAATATATCACACACATGTATGTACAGGTAGCGAACATTCAATAGAGTCATGATTCATCCAACAACACGTTCCTTGGTGCAGTGTGGAGTGGAAGCGGTTGCAGGTAGTGGCCCAGGGCTATTATGTGGGCAGAGGCTTCAGGAAAAACAGGATCATCAGTTTACAAATTGGAAGATGAAAAAAATTTACTCACACATGAGTTGATCTGTGAGGAGGGTTTACCTTCATTGGATGTGGTTGCACCGCCTCAGCAACCACCTGTTCATTGGAGAGTGCAGGGGTATGAATGATAGGATTGGGCTGGCTGAAATCCAAAAGGCATGTAGCTGACATTGGCAATGGGTCAGAAATACCATGAAGTAATGAATGAAGATAGTCATAGTCAGGATCCTCCGAGAATGCAAGTGAGCATGTGTAAATCAGAAGACTTGCGAACTCGATGGGAATTCCATGACATAAAACTTCAACAGTAGTATTTACTTTGCACTCAATCATGGAAGAGTTGGAGAGCTTCTCATGATCGCTGGTTAACCATGGGAGGGAGCCACACAAGAAATATATCAGCGTATATGTGAGGGACTCAAGATCATCCCGATGACCCAGCTCGACTCCTAAGTGACTGTTGATTGAGGCGAATGCAGGTGTACTGGTGAGACAACGACCTTGGCAAAATGGTATATGGGTTCTGGTTGAAGTATTGCAGTACTCCTTTGCAATACCAAAGTCAATGATGAAGGTGGTGTGCTTCAAATCATTAAGACCCACTAAGATATTCTGGGGTTTGATGTCACCATGAACAAAATTGTGTGAGTGGATGTATTCGAGACATGAGAGCTGGAAAAGTGGAGTTAGCTCGCTGCAATGACCTTTCACAAAGCAGCTGACCAACTGGTTTCCTAGATTCACAACATTGTGAAGGCTGAATCTTCGATCATGCGCAATGAAGATATCATGCAACAACGGCTCAAGGAAGTCAAGAACCAAAGCATGGTATGTTGATTCTCTGCCAAACCAAAAGACACGGGGGATCCCAACTCCGCCTGCAAGTTGTTTCAGAATCTTGTATTCATTCCACACAGAGGACAAGTGGTTGATGATGGGTTCAAGTTTGACAGCTACTGAATCATCCTTGATGAAGTTTTGTGCATGGTACACAACAGCTAAGTGAAGTCCAGATGGTGAATATAGTCAGTATGTGAATGACATAGTCACATACCATATGAGCCAGACCCCAGAACATTTCCCAGCCTAAATCTGCCATCGACTCGAGTAGGGACCTTATTCATGGTACAAAATAACATAGAGTAGATCCAATCAATGCAAGTGGCGAGGAGGAAGTCAGAGGAATGTATTAATTCCGCATTTTGCCAGCAGTTCAACCAGCTTGAACCAGCTGAAGGCCAGTTCAAGCCGCAGTTTGGCTTTAGCTGGTTCTTGCAGCTGACTAACACAATGAACCAGTCTACAGTGGCTCAAAAAACTGTCCACATGTTTTGACATTTTTCACTATCTATGATATTGTGTGAGAACTCACAAATGCCTCAAGGACATGCTTATAGCACATTGTAGTATGGCTTCAGGGCTTTCATTTGAGCCCTACACCGTGGGAATCGGTGGAGATATGGTGGAGATACAAGGCTTACAAAATCATGACTCATGTGGACAGTTTTTTGAGCACATATTAAAACTATATAAATCATCATTTATGACACCATAACAATCATGCCACCATTAAATAAATTATAAAGTGGTGTCATTATGTCATTTTAAAACCATATCTAACTATACAAACCAAAAATTTCCATATGTCATGGTTATATTCACCATGAAAGCCACCCCCCCTGCTCAAAGGGATAATATCCTCTCTCTTTCCTATTCTGGCCTCTCTGCTTGTCAAATTTCCTCTAGAACTGGAGTATCCAAGTCAACTGTGGCCAAGTTTATCAAAGAAAGTCACACAGACAAGGAAAACTTCTGTGAAGGGCATCCATCCAAGCTCACCTCTACTGATAGGAGGGCTATTATCCAACATATCACTACAGGAAAGGCTGATAATGCTGTCCAGGTCACCTATTACATCAATTCCACCATCACATTCCCTGTCTCTTCACACACTGTGAGAAACATTCTCAAGACAGCTCATCTCAGGTCAGTAACAAGGAAGAAAAGGCTCTCCTCTCCATCACACATAAACAGAGATGACTAACCTTTGCCTTAGCCCATCAGAATTGGATTACATGGACTGGAAGCATGTTATATGATCATATAAGACCACAATAAATAGGATTGGGTCAGATGGCAAGGTATATATGTGAAAAAAGAAGGGTGCTAGTCCTCTCTGCATATGTGAGATAGAGAGGAGAGCCTTTTCTTCCTTGTTACTGACCTGAGATGAGCTGTCTTGAGAATGTTTCTCACAGTGTGTGAAGAGACAGGGAATGTGATGGTGGAATTGATGTAATAGGTGACCTGGACAGCATTATCAGCCTTTCCTGTAGTGATATGTTGGATAATAGCCCTCCTATCAGTAGAGGTGAGCTTGGATGGATGCCCTTCACAGAAGTTTTCCTTGTCTGTGTGACTTTCTTTGATAAACTTGGCCACAGTTGACTTGGATACTCCAGTTCTAGAGGAAATTTGACAAGCAGAGAGGCCAGAATAGGAAAGAGAGAGGATATTATCCCTTTGAGCAGGGGGGGTGGCTTTCATGGTGAATATAACCATGACATATGGAAATTTTTGGTTTGTATAGTTAGATATGGTTTTAAAATGACATAATGACACCACTTTATAATTTATTTAATGGTGGCATGATTGTTATGGTGTCATAAATGATGATTTATATAGTTTTAATATGTGCTCAAAAAACTGTCCACATGAGTCATGATTTTGTAAGCCTTGTATCTCCACCATATCTCCACCGATTCCCACGGTGTAGGGCTCAAATGAAAGCCCTGAAGCCATACTACAATGTGCTATAAGCATGTCCTTGAGGCATTTGTGAGTTCTCACACAATATCATAGATAGTGAAAAATGTCAAAACATGTGGACAGTTTTTTGAGCCACTGTACATGGCAAATCAGTGGCTTAGTTCACTACAATTGCCAAACTACAAGTTTGTTGGTAGATGCCGAGTCCGAGCAGGCCATAGCCGAACTGTGGCACTACTACAGTGGGACACACAGTATCAAGGTTGCATTGCGTGTTCTTTGACAGTATGTTGTCTACCTTCTTTTCTCCCCCCGATGGCTAATCTAATGTACATTACAGGCCTGTCAGAAATTAATATCATTGCATGCCCCTGTTTTCCTGCCCCTCTCCAGCTCCTTTGTCATGGGCTGTTCCCATGTGCTCCTGTTGCTCCCTCACTCACAGTGGACTTATGTGTTCTAGAGTTTGTCCACCTTCTTTTCATTCATCAGTCCCCCAACCATACTGCATGGTGCAATGCAGTGGAGATGTTTCTAGATGGAATGGGATACAAGTTGACATTGATGGTTAGCATTTGATCCTCCACATACATAGCATGTTTAACCTTGTATTAGCATAGCCTGTGCCATCGCTTCTCCAATGCATTTTACTGGTACCGGGTGTTGACCATTTTAGCTTATGATCACATCTCCAATCTTATTGCCAACACCCGGAAGGACAAGATCTGTTTGCAACCAATGGCAGTTGAAACAACCTACTGAATACCTTCGTTCACACTGCCCACTTTGCTTTGGGACAAATGATTGGCAAAAGGTGAAAGATTCTTGTTTCATGTAAGTTCATTTATGTAGCTATGGTGCTGCATACTCAGTTGATCACACTCAGGCCAGATATTATCATTTGCATAGATGCATGCTTTACTCAAAAGCACTCCACCAACCCTTGTGGTGCTGATGGTCATGACCCTCCCAACCTGACACCATCCTTTTTTCTACCAAAGGATGACATGCAAGCAATGGATGAGTTTGTGCAGTGCTGTCAAGGAGAAAGACGTTGGGAGAGGGTCTCAAGGATGGAGCCAGAAGAGGATCGCTATGAAATGGGGACGAGTGTGCCAGTATCAGTCCTGGATGGATGCAGAGAATCTTTCATGGCTGCAGACGAGAAACAGGAGAAGGCAAGCACTTGTTTTTTTACTGATACAGGCCTTATGGCACTGCTTTGTAGACATGATCGTGTTCTCTGGATTGTGAACCTCACATTGGCAGGGGAGAAACAACATTACTCACTCGCTCTATTGGACCATCTGTTCAAGCATCTACCCCCTCAAATGACCGTCGGGCTTCTGTATGACATCAGATGCCAACTTGAATGGAGCTGTCGCAAATGGAGTCTTCTGGATGAATCTATTTTATCACGAATCACCTTTGCAGTTGCCGTATTCCACACTTACAGTCACCAGTGGCCTTGTCAAGTTATCTACCATCCCAGGAAATGCGAAGGTTTTGGACTGTCTGACAGCGAGGGGTGTGAATGACTATGGAGTTCTCTAAAGCAACTCATCCCCCCCCTATGCGTTTCTGGAGTAAGTACCACCCATGTATCATTCTACAAGTCTAACTCTACTCTAGTTCAATCAGCATCTTTTCATGCTTGATACTCAAATTCGCCACTGTGATACAAGATTGCTGCAAGGATTTGGCCATTGGCTTCATCGGTGTTGGATTCACTGCCAGACCAAGAAGAATGCAGCTCTGGACAATTTACAAGACTTGGACCTCGACAAGGATATACTTCGTGCAGAGTGGAAGGCTCAGATTGCGCACCAGACAAGACCCACTCCACATGAGAGGATACCTACCTGTTGTTGTTGTCTTACTGAAGTGTCTAGGTCAATCCAGGAACAAGGCAGCTGAGGTCATTACCACTCTTCTTGCATTGGAGAAGACTTTAGATGCACACAATGCTTCTGTCTGTGAACTGGAGGCGCAGTTACATGGTGGTCATGTTGACGACATGGTCGAGCTCAATCTGCAGCTGATTGATGCTCATTTGTGACATACCAAAGTTACTAACACTATCTGACATTGTAGATCTGCACTTGGAGCTGTGAAAACTCACATTCAGGACTGTCTTTGTCAATGGAAGTTCGAATTGGAGAGACTCAAGAGGTCATACAGAGCATCTATCAATGGTGCATTCATTTATACTTTACCACTTGGATGACAAATCTCAGGTCTTTACAGCCAAAAAACTTCACATGAATACACAACACTCCATCAAACGTCGCAAACCTGGCATTCTCAAGTTAGTCTCGACTTACAATGGCTTGTGTTCTCACATACGCTCACTTATATGACAACAGAGAGCGCCACCTTTTGCTATCCCCCCTCACTCCATTCCATGTGATGGCATCTTCCAACTTGACATCGATGACAATATCTGGCAAGACATTGGACTTGACGATGCCACTGTCAACCCTCCAGCGTGGTTATCAGATGAGGCCATCAGAAACAGTATCCAGTTGCAACTTGAAGTAGATTGTTGCTTTGAGGAGGAGGCTCGACTGATGCGCAAGTGGTCTGTTATGCAGGAGTGGATGTTGATGGAGTGGGAGGGTATACAGGATGCCTTGTCAAATGCAGGTGCATGATTGTGACCCTATGTCATGTCTGTTCTCAATTCATGTTGTAGTGGAGGATGTTGTGTTGACTTTCCACCTCACATCACGCACAGATGAGCTTGCTAACATCTGTGTTGTTTGGAGAAGAAAAGTTCAGTGTATTCCATGTGCCTGGTCAGTTGTGGATAGCTGGGGACCTTCAGATGAAGTCTTGCTTCGGGCCACACATGAACAGGCGCAGCCATCTTTTCGGGACAAGGATGACCAGAGTGTAGGGCCTGTGGAAGAGGATAATGAGGGTGATTCGGATTGTGGTGAGATTGGAGATGATGAACTGATGGATGCAATTGAAGACATTGCATTGGTGGATGAGTATAGGTATGATATAGACCCTGATGATGACCCAGATGACATTGAAGATGATTTTATGCCATCATCCCCTGCAAGATGTCCTATGAGATAGTATTGCATATAGATATTACATAATAAATTTAATATGTGCACAACACCTTGGTCTTTCTTGATAAGTGCAAATTAAAAAGTAACTATGGCCCTTCCCCCCCCCTGATCTGGTCCTTCCCTCTGATCTGGTCTTTCCCAGTTAGATTAAAACATACTAATGATCTTTCCCATCATGACCTGGTCTTTCCCTCTGACGGGAAAAAATACCAGTGGTCTTTTCCCTCCTGATATGGTCTTTCCCCTCACAATCTGGTCTTTCCCATTGCTATGTGGTCCTTCCCGATGACGGTGAAAAGTATCAATGGTCTTTCCCCTTGCGATCTGGTCCTTCCCAATGATGGTGAAAAGTACCAATGGTCTTTCCCCTTGTGAGCTGGTCTTTCCCCTTGCAAGCTGGTCTTTCCCCTCACATTCTGGTCCTTCCCAAACAGTATAAATTATACCAATGGTCTTTCCCCTCGTGATCTGGTCCTTCCCGATGATGGTGAAAAGTACCAATGGTCTTTCCCCTTGTGAGCTGGTCTTCCCCAATTAATTTAAAAAGCACCAATGGTCTTTCCCCTCATAATCTGGTCTTTCCCAGGGACTGAGGTCTACCCACATCTGTACCCACAGTATACCCATACTCATATTACTCAAGGGATACAGTGATTCCAGTGTCTTGCGAGACAGATGACCCCCCTTGGGGTATGCATGTTCTCAAGGGATACAGTAATCCCAGCATCTGTGAGGCAGCTGACCCCCCTCAGGGTGCACATATTCTCAAGGGATACAGTAATTCCAGCATCTTGCGAGGCAGCTGACCCCCCTCAGGGTATGCATATTCTCAAGGGATACTGTTAAGAACCATGCTCAAAGGAGAGAGAGACTGACTCAGAGGGGCTTGGCCTCAGCTCGTATGCTGTGCCCCTTACCCAAGTATGTGCCCTTCATTTCAGAGGAAGTCTGATGATGGTCCGACAAAGTCCAGAGGACTTCCGGAGGCTGGCTACTCTGGTGGAGAGTGCAGGAGGACTTCTGGAGGAGCGCAGGAAATGTCTGGAGGAGCATGGGAGAGTTCTGGAGGAATGCAGGAAATGCTCAGGAGAGTTCCCGCTGCAAGGTAATACTTCTACAGGAAAACAGGATGGAAGGATAGGATGTCCAGAGGTCCGGAGTATGGAGGGCGGAGCGTCCAAAGGACAGGATATCTGGAGGTATGAGGGACAGGAGGTCCAGAGGTCCAGAAGGAATAGGGGCTACATTGGACGAAGTCCGATGTAGAAGCAAATGGAGGTAGACTACCCTAGGGTAGAGTCGGAGGGACAGGAAGTGGACCTAAGTCCAGAAAGAAGGTAAGTGCCGGAAAGGCAAGACTCCAGCCTAGGGAAGCAATCCCTAGACTTGGGACAGAGACATAGGGGACAAATCTGAAGGTCCAGAATTCTGGCCTAGGGAATCCTTCCCTAGGCCTTATGGAAAAGGACAAGACTCAGACGGACTGAAGTCTGGAAGATGATTGGCGAGTAGAACAGGATCTAAGATGATATTCAGACTGAGGACTCTATTGTAGTTGTACAGGGGTCATATACTAAAGGCTATCTGAGAGGATCAGTAAGCAAAGGAGTAAGGCTATGTACGAGCATGCGGAAACACATTGGTAAGTAAGACGGAACATAAGTAAATGAACTTGGAGATGAAACTAGTACAAGGATCAATCAGCAAGACGGAAACAGAGATAACCAAGAACCAGAAAGGCAGAGATGCCTAAATGGGGATAGGCGCAGGATCTCGGATAGAGGGCAGGAATAGGTCCAGAGATAGCACAGTTAATATCCGGAGGTCCGGAGATCTGGGGATCCAGAAGGCAGGGCGGAAACAGGACTGAGATATGTGAGGTGGTGGATGTAGTCCAGAATCCGAGAGGAGGTAAAGTCTGGATGTCTTGCTGGATGGAATGTGCATAGGGTGGACAGATAGGGGATCCAGGAATGAGTTGGATATGGGGTCCAGAAACAGGTCCAGAAAGCGTGGGAATATGATGGGATCTATGCCTGGCATACAGGATATGACAGATACAGTGATTCCAGTGTCTTATGAAACTGGAGATCCTGGCTATTCACCAGGGGTAGTGATTCCATCATCTTCTCATCTCAGCTTATGCATTAGCACAGTAAAACCATGGGTACCATGAGCTCTACCTGCACCTAATCCTGCTATCAATTTCGAAAATTTATCATGAAAATTTGGCCATGGTAGGACCCCTGACACCCCTTCACTACAGAGAATCCCAATGTATCTGTGGTCCAAAGCTACTCTGGTATTTCCTGCCTGATTTTTATAATGATCCTTGGACCATTCCTGATACATCACATTTTGGTCCCTATATATTCAGGGAAATACCCTTGAACATGGGCCAGACCTCCCCAAAAGCACCTCTTAGGCCTTTACTGCTATAGACATAATACAACCTAAGAGGTACCTAAAATGGGGTAACCAAAGTGTACAAGACACAGCTGGTTACTATTTTTGGTAACATTTTTCTTCCAAACCCCTTGTGGAGTCAGAGTTGAATGTTGAACTGCAATCAGCACCCCACAGAAGTCGGCACTTTCACAAAACTTGTATTTCTAGCTACTCAAACACAAAATTCTTAATATAGGTATCATTCTCTGTCTAATACAACTCATTATGAGGTTGAATGACCATGATTAAAGCAGAATTGAGTGAGATAGTTGAAAGTGCTGAAGTCATGCAGAAATGTCACCTGCTGATATGTGCCATGATGGAGCCTTGAATTGCACACACCCACTTTGGAAGTGCCAACTGGTGCAGTGCTGCTGGCTATGGGGCTGGTCTGCATTTGCAAGTCTAGCAGCAGCAGACAAGGAAAGCTGTGAGCTTCATCAGACCCAACTTATGAGTCACATATTCAGGCTGCAATTCAGGGAATTGCAAATGGGTTATATAAATCCATTGCAGCTGCAGCTAAGGAACAGAATGTGAGTCATGTTTCATCATGTGATTATTCACTAAACTGGTCTAGGTATTACGTCAGACACTGAGTGATTGATGCTTGGGAGTGCATAAGTCTCATCAGCATGCCCACAAGAGCCAGCAACTATTATCTGCTGCACATGAGGAAACTGTTGCTGACTGGTGTAACCTGGCATCCACATCTGTGACTCCTATTCACCCTGTGAAGTTGTGTGCATCCATTAAGGAAATAACTGGCCAACTCCTGTCATGAAAGTGGCATTATGGCTTCATTCATCATCATCCATCCCTTTGTATATCTTGAGCAAGTGGACTGGATCCAAAGTGTGCTCAAAATTTTAACAAGGATACCATTGGGGAATTTTTTGAGATGTGAAAGAAGCTTGATGATGACCATAATAAAATTCTGCCAGAGCATCATTAGAATATGGACAAGAAAGGCAATCAAATGGGCAGGGGAAGGAAAAATGCTAGCATGAAATTCATTTTCTCTGCAGAAGATTCAGATCATTATTGGGTCCATAGCAATAATCTAGAGCTCATAACCATTATTGAGTGCATCTCAGCTGCAGGTGCTAAGATGCCACCATGGTTTGTCCTTTCAGAAGGACCAGCCCCAGATATCTGAGATCTAAAAGATAAAGTGGGTAGGTAAGTAAGCTACATAAGCATATCATTGTGCTCTACTAACACTGTGATATCCTTGGACAGTGTTTCTTTCTCTCTGACAGGATGGACAGATCATGAGATTGTGGATTATTGGTTCAGGAACCACTTTGTTCCTACAGTGGAGAAATACCATGTTGATCCTGAGAAACCAATTGTTCTGATGGTTGATGGTCATAGTTCACACAAACAAAGAGCTATCAAAAGGGCAGCTTATGATAATGGTGTCATAATCCATGCCTTTCCATTGAAAACCATGCACAAAATTCAACCACTGGATGTGAGCATTTTTTCCTCTGTTCAGTGTGCTTGGACCAAACATTGTGACAAACACCTTGCCAATGGGGTTGAAATTGATTGCTATAATTTTATTCATGAATATATGGCCATTCACCCCATCATTACACCAGAACTCATCCAGAAAGCATTTAAAAAAACTGGTATCTATCCTCTTGATCCATCAGTCTTCACAGACAAGGATTTTACACCAAGCCCAGTTTATTCAACTACTGCACATCTTCCCCCATCATATCCTTCTGAAGTCCCTTCATCTCCAATGACAGTTCCTTCTGACATTGAAGAATTTGATGAGTTGATGAAACTGAATGGCAACCATAAAGAAGAGGATTTGGAGGATGACAGTGATTTTTTTCCCATGGCTGTTGATGAACATGACTCAGACTTGGACTCTTGGAGCTCTGACTCAGACAACTTGGAAGAACCTCAAAGTGATGACTCAGAGTCAGATGAAGACAAAGACAAAGGAGAGATGCCCCAGCAAGACACACAGCCCCCCTCTAATGACACTCACATCACCCACTCAACATTGCAACTATCAGGCCCCATCTAACATCCAGTTATCTCCTCATATGTTCAGGCAATGACATTGATGAAGGAGGAACTTTGGTGTGAGCTCTAGTGCATGTATGAGCAGAATGGGGCATTAGTTCAGACGACTCAGATCCTGACTGCCCAGCTTGATGCTACAAATGCACACTGTACAATGGTGCAGCAGGCATTGGCTTAATCTTGACTGAAGTTGGAGAATGTAAAGAAAAAGAAACAGCTGAGGAAATCTGTCAAATTATGGGCCCATTTCATGACACACCCAGAGCTCAAGGAGGACTTCAATAAAGTGGAGGAAGAGTGGCATGAAAAAGACAAGCTTGATGTGGAGAAACAGGCCAAAAAGAAGTCTGAAGATGAAGTGTGTCATGCTCAGATTGAACATGATATTGGGTTAAAGACATTTGATGCACTCTTGACACTCCAGTGCAAGGATGACTTCATCACACTTGCTGGTGCTCTTAAAATTTCAAGAGATGGGATGGTCAACAAACTCCAAGTGAGAATCAAAGA